CTGTTCTGAAAGCAAATCCATTCAGATCAGTGAAATGAGATAACAGACTTGGGAAATCCAGCTGCTGTGCAGATGTTGGGTGGAATTTCCCAGGGAACAGCAGTTATGCCGTTTTTCGTGTCTGTTTCTGCATCCCTTGCTCAGGAGGGCGAGTTACCGCAGAGCAAGCAAACCCCCTCCTGGGGAAGCATCAGTGGATTTGGGATTCACTGACCCTTTTTTCCTAGGTTAGTTCAATCAGTACCTGGGTTAGATGGAAGCCTGAATACCCTGGAGGTATTGAAGAGTAGATGTGGCACTTAAGGGCATGGTTTAGTGGTGGACTTGGCAGGGTTAGGTTAACGTTTGGACTCAATGATCTTAAAGGTCTCTACCAACCTAAATGATTTCATGATTCTGTGTTTTTCCTCTAGTAACTTTCCCTATTTTCCATTATCCCATAAACACCAGCAAGGATTAATGCTGCAAGACACCTGAGTGACCTCTCTGCCTCCACAGATGACCATTATTACTCTGATAGTTCCTGCGGCAGTTTGAGTGTGTACGTTGCCAGCATACAGTGGCACTGCATGATCTAGGCAATTTACTTTCTTGCTTTGTAATTTTTAAGCTCAATTATGTCATTCTCTACAGACCCAGATGCCATGATTTTGAGGAATAGGTAATTTGTCCTCCTTGTAGATGGATGCAAGAGCCTCGCAGGGAGAATACAGCCTTGCTTGGGTGACCCATTCCACTTTATGTCTCTGACAGAGGCACAACTTCCTCCTTTGGTAGGTCTCCTGGGATATCCTTTCCCATTGTGTCAATTACGGCATTTCTCCGCAGCTCCAAGGAATAGGAACAAATAAATCAAACAAACAGGCTTTGGGGGATGATCCTTGACAGCAACAGCGATTGTCAGCTACTTAGATTCCTCATATCCCTGGGATCAGAGTGCTCCTGACATGCCATTTGCACAGCCTGGGAACAGTAGCACTCGGTACTTCCTTTTCCTTTGTTTTAGAGAATTACAGAGCAGGTCGTGTGCTGGTGCAAATAGAGCTGGTTGCTCTCCACACTGCTATCTTTTGTACCGTATGTATAGCTTTGATAAGCAGCACATGTGCCTGCTTCCCGGCTATACAGTGTTTCCAGTCTGATCTCAGGAGTGTAGCTAAATCAATATATCCTTTGTGATGTGCAGATGGAAATAATCTCCAGGAAGATGCATTTCTGAGCTTTGCCTAGGACGTATTTTGTTGAGAGGTACAGCTGGCTTGTGGAAAGGTACAATCCAAAACCGTATTGGAGCACACTGCTAACCCTGCCCAAGCAGCTTTACGCTGCTCTTGTGGTCCCGCCGTGACCATCAGTAGGGCTTCTGGAAGGCTCCTTTGATGTGAAGGGGATTGCCAAGGCAGAAAGAGGGCCAGCCTACCTTTACAGCCCCATGTGCTCTGTCACTGGCTGCCAAAGCCTCCACCACACCTCAGGGCACCACTAGCTGCCCCAGTATCTAGTGCTCTTCAGTCCTGCTCCCTGAACTGGACCACATGCAGACAGGGCATTTCCATCCTAGCATAGCCTAGGTAAAGTTTGCTGATGTGCTTCTGCCTACTGATGCTTGTTCATGGACCTAAATACAGATTTCAGCTTTGCAACCAAGAGCAAGGCCAAATGCCCCCATGTTCCATGACTGCTTGGGGTGACACGTGGATTCAGGTTCACTGTCCAAAGCTCTCTGCAGACTCGGAGTTTCCCACCTTATGGTGGAAGAGAATTACGTTCCTGATAGTTTTGCCCAATTCAAGCCCTTCTGGATGCTAAATGAGTAACATACACAAAGTAAAGGCACATCAGCAATGTAAAAACACTTTTGTTTCCTCAGAGGCTTGTGCTATGAAAAAATGACACGATGATTTGAATCAGAATACAGGAGGATCTGTCAGATCAGTCACACCTGTAAAAACACAGGTTCAGTATCAATACCTGCATCATTCATGACACGCTGCTAGTGAAATAGCATACGGGTGCGATTCAAATAACCAAAGAAGAGCGACAGGCGTTTTTTGGCTGGATTCATCTCAGCTGTTAGAACGAGGCAAACGATGCCCCGTTTTCCCTCCATGGATTCCCAGTGAACCCAGGGCAGGAAGTGCTGCACCTGGGGTACGCCATGGTTTTAACATGTGTTTCCCCTGTGCAAGACTGGCTGTGAACACCTGAGGTTTGGTCTCTCCCAGAGCAGTTCCACAAGAAAACCCTAGATCATGCAGTGCCACTGTAAGCTGGCAATGTACATACCCAATCGGGCTCAGGAACTATCTTTCCTGGAGTGGACATTTTGCATAGGGAAACACACATCTAATCTTACAACCCCAACACTTCATTCCTATACATGCTTTCTAAGTACAACAGCCCATTGCTGTGTGCTGGAGTCATGTGGGAGCTGCTCCTTCTCCTTCTGGGCAACGAAGTGAGGCAGGGAGCTCAGTGCCACCACCTCCCTCTCCAGGGAGGCCAGTGCAGGCTCCTTTTGTGCCACAACAAGGGCTTTTCAAGGCGTGCTCTCTCCCTTACAACATGGTTGGGTTATTGAGTGTGTACCCACATACACAATGCCTCCAGAGGGTGAGCAGGGGTTGGAACACTTCCCATATGAAAACAGGCTGAGAACATTGGGGCTGTTCAGCCTGGAGAAGAGAAGCTGTGTGGAGACCTCAGAGCAGCTTCCAGTGTCTGAAGGGGGCTACAAGGATGCTGGAGAGGGACTCTTCATCAGGGACTGTAGTGATAGGACAAGGGGTGATGGGTCCTTTACAACCTGAACCATTCTGATTCATGTATGCTGATCTACAACAACTTTCACTGTAGGATCCCTTAAATACCCCCTGCAGATGTTATAGGGAGCGTCTTTTCCTGTCTGAGGAGCCCTTTGGCACCCTGACAGATGGAGCACACATGGTAGCATGGCCCTGCTCCTCCTGCAATGCCTCATACCCCGGGCAGGATGGTCCCCCTTGCTCAGGCCAGCACGCTGTGGTGTGGCATCGTCTCCTAAGGTCATGCACCAGTCAGCCGCAGGGCTCTGGCATCCCTTCACAGCTCTGCTGTTTGTAATACGTATTATCAGTGCTGTGATAATGCTGGAAAATGGCTGCTTCTTTCTGAATAAAAGGAAAGTTTGCTGCTCGTATCTCAAGGATAAAAGCATGTCTGGCTGGAAATCAGTGCAGGGTGCTGAAAGCAGGCAGAGCAGCTGAGCCAAGCACAGTGTTCTGTGTCCCTGGAGAGCAGTGCTTCAGTTCCCCAGAGCAAAGGCTGCTGCCTTGGTACCAAGTGAGCTGAACTTCCCCCTCCCCTCACCATTGCAAGCAGTGGCAGAAAACCTGACCTGCTCTCCAGAGCTTGGTCTTTGCTGACCGCAGTGACAACCAGACATATGTCTGGTTTTCACAACCCTGTGATTGATTTGCCTCCTCCTCTGGTCCAGCACCCCAAGTCTTCTTCCTTCACCTACCTTTATTTGGCCACCCTGAAAGTTAAGATCCTATGTTTTGTGTATCGCTTGTGATACAGCTGCAGGAGGTTTCAGCAGGTTTTAGGATGAGGGCAGTGGAGTGACGCTGCTGCAGGACAGCCCGGCAGGAAAGGTGCCTGCAAAAACTCAGGTCTCTGACCCAAAAGGAGAAGGAAACTTAACAAACAGAGTCTGTTTTCGCGGTGAAAAGGGGCAGGGTGAGAAGGGAATATTTCTGTTCTGTTGCCAAGGTGTGAATTCTGCAAAATGTGGGGCCTGCCCCCTCGAAAGCTACTCAGTGTCCTTCAAGATACCATCTCAGTGAGCTCATCCGCCAGCACCATGCCCTCGCTGGGACTGTGCGTCTGTGCATGCACACTCGCCCAGCACAAATCAAAACCCCTTCCTTTTAACAAATTCACAGAGCCTCACAAAAACCTATGGGAATATCTGGTTTTGCATGCAAATATTTACCAAGTAAAAATGGATACTTTTCCACAGCTCTTAGTCCCAGGCTTCTTGTGCACAGAAACTGCCAACTGTACATGCATGCTGGTTTGGCACCGGGACAGCGCATTCCCTAGAGAGCAGAATGAAACCACAAACTCCTTTTGCTAGGGAAGCCCTTTCCATGGAGCAGGTGAAAGCGTGCTAAAGTCACCCTTGCCTCCTAGCCTGGCTGTTTTCGGAATGCCATTTGAAAACCTCTCTCCCTCCTCCCGCTGTCCCCAGTTTTATCCCTCTTTCAGGAGGCAGCCATCAGCAACAAAACCACAATGCGGGGCTTGGCTGGCTGTGTACATTCAGCAGCTGCTCTCTTCCAAGTTCTGGGCAAGCCACAGCTATCCAGATTCCCACTTGTCCTCTGTCTTCTGCCTCAGTTGCAGTACAGCATCTTGAGCTAGAAGGACCACTAATTGACCAGCTTGGACAGGTTGCCAGCACTGCAGTACAGTCAGCCTGCTGTCCCCTGTTGTCTGTGCCTTTCCCCCCTTCGCTACACTTCCAGCCCTTCCTGATCCAAAGCTTGTGACATCTTCCAAGTCCTCCTTGCATTCAAGACTCTAATTCGGCATGTGGTATGCTGTGCTTTTCCAGCAGGCTGCTTTCTGCCATTATCACTCCACCCAAGTGAATGTTCAGGATGGGTATGCTCTTTCTCCAATTATTGCAGAGAATCAAAATGTAAGCAATAAGCACTAAAGCCAGATTTGTCTAATACGAAACATCGAGCAAAATCTTTGTGTTCTTCTGTAATTACTCTGAAATAGTTACCAGCCTGGTAAATAAAAATACAATTCTCTATCTTAAGATCCGATCCGGTGTTTTCTCACAGGGTAAGGTAAGAATGTGATTGCAGTTTGCTTTAGCCCATTTCTTCACGTTGTTCTGCTGACACGATTGTTCAAAGAAATTGTGCTTTTGGAAGGAAAAGGTTAAAGTTTGCTACTGATATTCATCAGGAGATGGATATTTAATCTTTAATCTCTTGTTCTAGGCCCCTACTTCGGATCAACTCATTATCCCGAATAAACGATGTGTCATTCCCATTATTTATGTTTCACTGCAGCCAAAGTATCTGGACCTCGTTTTGGTAAGCACCATTCATTTCGACCCATTCAGTATTAATCTCCCTTCTAACATCTTTCCTGTCCTATGTGCTGTCCCCTATTTGCTTTTATGTTTTCCGCAGAGTGTTTATAAAAGGATAATCTTTTACAAAGCAGACAGAATTTTTGTGTATAAACTGCTCTGTTTGAATGCCTCATTGATATACCATCTAAACTGAAGTGTTCAGCAAGATTAGTGCATCCACTGAGCCACTGAACTGGGGAAAAATATGGGAACTGCTCCTTTCTTTATAGTGAGAGAGGGTAGCTAATGATGCCATCTTCTTTTAAATAGGATACTTTTAGCAGATGGACTCAGAGAATATGAACACATTCCACAAATAAGAAGTAATCAACAAAGGAGGTGGCTTATTGTGGCAAATAAAAGGGGAAAAGGGCACAAAATGTATAGATTAGGTAAACACCCCCAGCCAGCTTCTATCTTAGTGAAAGGGGTGTAAATGCAGAATAATTCAGCCAAAATGATGTGAATTAGTGGTGGTTTTACATCATTGTTGCTCACATCAAGATCTGGTCTCTTTGCAACGTGATTGCTGAGGACTTCAGCTAGGAGAGGGGCTTGCAATGCCTCGAAATGCAAATGATGCACTTTTCTCTTTCTCTTACTGATATCAATTTCCGGTAAGAATGTGTTGAGCACTATTCCCTCCTTTTGTGTGAAGTAAATAAATGAAGGCTGCCTGGCACACATAACTTACGCTTATTTCGGCTGTCTCCTTTGCGATGTGTATCTGGTGACATCGGGTGCCACTGACACACCCTCCGAGATGCTGACACTGTATGTTAGAAGAACACAGTATGCAAGTGAATCCGTGCCCATATTCCCACACTTAGATGGGAAAAATCCCAAGCAGACATGTGGTAGTATCATTTGAATGGCATAGATTCTTAAATACATTTGTCACTTTGTACACTTGCCAGCTCTTCTTTGAAGATATAAACCACCAAGCCACTCCAAATTATATCCATCATGACTCCGTCAACATGTAGCACTGTTTAGTATGTTATTTTAGTTAAATTGCACTATTGTTGTCCATCTATTATGACATAAACTAGGATTGGTGCCCTTGCTTTAATATGAAATCAAAACGGGAAGCAAAATCCGGGAAAAAGAAAACATTGAGAAAGTCATGCCATTCGTTCAGCAGCAAAGGAACACGAGGAGGAATATTAGGGAGGCTGGAAGCACAGAAGGTATCGGGCACCCCTAGTTCCTGCTTTAAAAGGGATCACTGGTGTTTATGCTGGGGCTGTGCATAGAGAGGGATGAGACCCCTTTGGACGGCTCCCGTTGTCATTTTCAGTTCAGCTCCCCCACTGATATGACCCAGACCTGGCTTCTAATAAGAAAACCCTGTCCATGGCTATTTCTGGAGCCTGTCAACACCACTGCAAGGTTAGTGAGAGCAGTCTGCGGGTCGGGGACAGGGGTAACCCAGCTTACTGAATTGTCATTGTTCTTTGCAGATAGTCCATGTAATTTAGTACACAGAAGCCATCTCAAGGAAATAATTGCCTGTGCGGTCCTAAGGAGACTGGTAATAAGAAAATGAATCTGTCACTTTCTGGTTGCCATTAGTTGAGGTTAAAATCTTTCCATTATAGCTACTATCCGCTGCCCTGTATGTAGTTTCAACACAGGAGAGAAAAAATCATCACCGTATTTGGCACAAATTGGCCTACATACCGGGGGAAGCAACATTGGACTGGTCTGGAGAGATCTAGAGCTACTCTTCCAGTGTTAGGACCGATGATCTCCAGACCTCTGTGTTCAGTGGTCGGATCTTCTGTAGAAATGAGTGCAGTTCCTATTGTGCTGCTGGAGGTCAGGCATCCAGTGAAACAAACCAGAAGAGATATACCCAACAGACCCCTGCAATTTCTAGTGGTTTTCACCAATGGAGATATGAACTATATAGTAAAGAAATAAAGCATTTTTTCCTTGCAAAGGTGATCAGACATGACCTTTCTGGCCTTAAAGTTGCAGTGAAGGAGCAGTGCTTGTTAATGCAATTTATTGTCTAGCAGTTTTTTGTGATGAACCATCAGGTTCCTGGAAATCCCACAGGAAAGAACATCTTTGTAGGCACCGCAATCACTGCACAAGTGATGCAGAGGTGACTCGTGCCAAGGCAGGGTGCCCGTGGCTCTGCAATGTGTCGGACTTGCTGTACCTGTGCAGGTCCACTGCACGGTGCATTGCATTCACTCAGACCAGGATGTGGCAGCCCTGTTGCTTCTGGAGTCATCCCGCCGTCAGGTCTCATTGGATAGATTTCTCCCAAGCACAAATTCAAGTCAGTAAAGACCTAATGGAACACTCTTTGGAAAACATTAATAAGCAATTCTAGGTGCAGCGGCACGGGGACAGATTTCTGGCTGATTTCTTTGCACTTAATTAACCTGCTTTTCTCACGTACCCTCTGAAAGGGAATTCCTCTCTGCCTGACCACATGGTGGGACTGGGATAAGCCCACCACGTGTTTGTATGCAAATCTGGGGCACTAGGTCTGCAGTAGAACAAAAGAGAGGAGAAGATGAGTGAGAGAGGACCAGAGGCAGACTGAGGGAGGTTGGGCTGGATCCCAATAGGCCTGCTTTCATAGAGACAGGTAAAGCAGAGAGTTAAGGAAGTCATAATAAAACCCATAGGCTCTCAGGCACAGTGTCCATACAGATTAAAATAGGCAGGAAAGTTGGAATGGGCTGGTAATAAGTGTGCAAATATAAGACCAAGTGAACATACACTGAAGAGATGATATGATATGGTAAAATATGATGTGATGGTCTGAAATGATATGATATAATGTGCCTTTTTGCAGCAGACATAGAATCATAAAATTATTAAATCACAGAATCATAGACTTGGACATTGGACAGACCTCCAAGGTGGAGGTAATCCTTGTTGGAATATTCTGTGCCATAAGGAAAGGATCATGTCCTCCACCAAGATACACTAGTGAGGTACCTGTATTCTCCCTGCATCCCTTTGACTCCTGATTAAACACTTCCACACTGTAAGGTGGGAGGATGAGCAAGTGTGGATTGGTTAAGCCTCTTTTTTCCATGGAGTCATGACTACATAAGGAGATGGGATGCCCATGTGGAGGCTGCATGCCTCCGTTTTCTCATGTAGGATTGTGGATAGCAGGAAACAGACCTGGCTGTCATTAATGGAGATTACTGAAAGTGCTCATTGCTCCTAATCTGGGAATACACTCACATAAACGTTAAGCAGCGCCTTGATTTGATCCTGACCTGTAGTGGCATCCCTGGTGCTGCTGCTGTGAGTTGTATTGATGCTGGGGATGAGGCAGCTCCCACATCACCTTTTCCGCACATCTAGTCCTAACCATACAGATGTGTAGGCAACGCATGGGGGAAAAGGAAGGGAGAATGCTGGAGTGACAGTGGTTAAAGAACGAGGCTAAGCCATTTCCTCTGAGGCATGAAATCTGTCAGAAGATAGTGTATTTTTAGGAGCTGACTGCAGACACTGAAGCTGTACATCTCATTGGTAGAAGAGCATAGAGATCTAGGCACTAACACGATTAATACCATGTCTCAACAGAAGGGATTTCCCACACTTATATTGCTCAGAAATAGCTTTTCATAAATTTGATGTGAGCACTTGGCAGAAGAAGCAGCCATCAAATACCAATAAAAATATGTTTGTGATACCTGAAATGCACATCTAAAGAACCAGAGAACATTAATATTCCAGAAGGACTCTTCAGGTACCCATAAAAATCGGATGTTACAGGGGCTCTGTCAAGGTAGAGAGCTTCAACCCTCAACTCATCATAAAACGTACATTGTCAAATTTCTTACTGTGAAAAATCAGGACTTCACACTAGCAGCACTGACCAACCAGGTGGCTCCGGCATGCCTGGGATGCGTTCGCTCTGTCAAGCACATATGGAAATCCTTTCCTTGTGGATCCATTCAGGTTTTGGGCAGTGAGGGGCCTGGATGTCTTGTTGGAAGGGGGGTGCAGCCTCTCTCTTTATGCCTGCGGTGGTACAAGGTGTTGCTGTGCACCCAGGGAAGTCTCTTTTTAAATAGTATTCCTCATAGGACACCGTTTTTAGCTCCCCGGGCAGCGTGGCTCCATTGCAGGGTCCCAGGGGCTAGCGAGTGCAACTCCTTTTAAGGTTTGCCAAGCCAAGAGGCTGCTGTAGCTTCTACATCAGGATTGTGCTTTTCTCTTATTCCCTTCCTTCTGCTCCCCCCTCAAGTCCCTCCTCTGTAAATGAAATGAAGCTCTTCCGGGGGTCCCACCTGGGATAACCAGCCCTGCTTGAAGAGCATAATTGGGAATGTTTCGTACAGATGCTGTCTGAGCACACAGAAATGACAGAGTGATAGACACAGCTTAAATCCCTAGACTGCCAGACAGATAAAGATGGTCTGTCCCAAAACCTGCCAATCCCTCGTATCACCATGTCAGAATGAAGCAGAAAATTTTCACACATCATCACTTGTGTAAGCTTGAGTCCAGATCCTTGCACCCTTACTCAGAGTTAATAAGTAAGTTACACGGTTGGCACGAGTAGTGCTGCCAACTTCTGCAGAGCAGCTCCTGGAAAAGGAACCTACTTAAACCTGCAACTGGAATTTAAATACCAAATCTGCAACAGTTCTTTAGCTACACTTAAGGCAGCACTACACTGTACTTTAAATTAAATTAGGAATCAAATTCAGCGAGAGAAAACTGCACTTTTTACCTTGCTGTCTCTTCCTATGGCTATTAGTACGCTGAGGGCTCAGATAAACAAATATGAATGCACTAATAGCTTTTTTTATTGCCCTCACTAAAGAATCCTGTTAGGTCTGGAAGGCAGGTTTTAAATCCAGAGCAGACAGTTGTAATTGTGCTGCCTTATGTACACAGCCCAGGCCACTCATTTTGCACCCACCATTTCACTTCATGGTATCATTTCACTTATGGGGACATTTCTGCACATCTGAATACATCCCTACACAATGTGCTTTGCCAAGTGAGGTTTTTTGGACCTGGCTTTCGGGTCCCTTCAGAGTTGAGGAAAAATTTCTGATGAAAGCTAAATCAGTTAACACCAAATTGGGTTGATAGGGGGATCCTTGTCTTCTCAGCTAACGGTATGAAACCAGATAAAGGGGTTGATTTGACAGCTGAAGAGATTTCCAAAGAGGGGTCATTTTCTCCCATGACCAAATAATAGAGAGATATGCAAGAGTATGTGTGTGCCTTTCAACAGCAGGCAGAGTCCGAGAGCTTACTTATCTCTAAACGGCTTCTCTGGTGTCTAAAATAAAGAATGAAGAGTTTCTGAACAATCAGGGAGCAGAAGCTTTCTCTGGCTTGCCTTGGGTGACCAACCACACCGGGAGAACGTGTGGCCATGTTCTCGGTGGTGCCGTGTGTGTTTTCATTAGGCAGAGAACCTCCTCAGCACCATGAAAGATCGAGCCTTTACAGCTTAGCAGTGTAAGTGCCCCCACACAGTACTCCACTGACCACCTCACACTGAATTTATCCCACAGTTGTTGAAATATCTCGATGCGCTCTTGTTCGTCTGGGGTTGTCATTGTCTTCACGGAAGTCTGTGGGGGAAAGAAATTGGATGGTAAATACCTTAGGGACAAATTTGGGCTCCTTTGCACTAGCTGATGTGGAAAAAAGTCTGTGGCTCTTCCTCAGTTTCTTTTCAAAGGGCCTGATGACTGTACTATTTATTTGCTTACTGTTTATTCATTTTACTAGTTATTTATCCACTATTTCAGTTTTTGTGGTGTAATCATTCTCTCACTCTTCCCTTTTTTTGTTCTTCTGAAGCCATTAATATGAAGAAGGATTCTTGGACTGAATTTCTGTCAAGGTGATCTTTGATCTCCATTTTCTTCTCCCCTTTCCCCACGCCCTTTTCAGAAGATAAGAGGGTTTTGCACGTTGCACACCATCTAACCAGTCTTGAGGTCTGGATGTGGAGGCTGTGAAACTACCAAGGTTGAATTTCTTGGATACCTCGATCTTCTTTAAGGAAATAAATACACTCTCATTCACTGAGGGAGAGGGAGGTGGAAGGCAGTTGGTTAGTAATGGGATACAAACCATTTAAATCTAAATTGACAGCTATTTGCATCTGAAGGTTGTTGCTGGGCTGTGTGAAACAAGCTGTGGTTTCCATCCAGTTCCTCATGAAAGGCAGCACCACCGCAGCGTTCAGTATCATTGGTTTCATTCCTTCACACGATTTCAACTAAAAGTGCCAGCTTTGGGGGGTTAGTGAGAGTTCTGCCTTCAGATTCAGTGGCCCTGGATCATGCCCGAGTAGAGAAAGAGCCTGAATTTCCCAAGATACAGGAAAAAACCTCTAGGGTCAGGGAAAATGGGTGCCACAAAGAAATGTCGCATTGCTCTTATCCATATTCTGGATCACAGTCTCAGTGATTTTTAGCCTGGCACTAGTGCTCATTTTTAAAGATGTTAACAGTTGCTGGAAATTCATTTTCTAGTGGGCTACTTCTAGTTATTTCTAGTGGGTTACTTACAAAGTTCTGGCTAGCTGCAGAGCCATACGTAACAAAAGAGTTCTTTCTCACAGAGACATATTTTAATACCCATCAACAGCAAAACCACTGAAGAATTCCAGGGGTGGAAACCAGGAAAGTAGAATAAGAAACACACCCTTCTGATCCGTGAATGGATCCGTGTCTTCTTCAGAATGGTGTCTCTTATGATGTTTTACGTTGAAACTGAAGGCAGTGTTTTAACACAGCTTGCATAATCTTTCCATGTGGTTTTCTGCTGTGCCATTACTGGACCCCTCTGTGCTGGCTAACTCCTCGTGCAGAAATTGTTGACCTGCACACTCTGTAAAAAGTACCTTATTTCTTCTACTAGGATTAATGAGGACATTTTATGCACGTTATAAAGTTTTGCTACATCCCCGTTTGATTTGCAGAAATTAAATGCTTAACGTAGTTTACCACCATTGACAGTATGCAAGCTAGTAAAGTAAGCAGCATAGGGCTGACATAACTGGTACTATTGTGCTCAACTATATTACCAAATAAAATACAAAAGAGCTGAAGCAATCTGGAATGACTGAAGTAGGTAAATGACACCAAGAATTAGGCAGGTGACAAGTGGGAGAAGTTTCTCTCTCTCTCAGTGGGTAGCTGTGTGGTTTTAAGGTTGTGAACAAGTGCGTAGCATGCTTATATTGCCACAGAATCATAGAATCACAGAATGGTTTGGGCTGGAAAGGACCTTAAGATCATCCAGTTCCAATCCCCTGCCGTAGGCAGGGATGCCTCACACTAGACCATGTCACTCATCCCTGCCAGGGATGGAGCATTCACCACTTCTTTGGGCAACCTGTGCCAGTGCCTCATCACCCTCACAGTAAAGAACTTCTTCCTTATATTACTGTTTTCTGTGGTGCAAATGAAACTGGTGTCATGTTGTCCACTTAGGAGGGAAACTGGGAGCTTGCCCCTGCAAGCAGAGCCCTGTTCCACAATGGATTTTACTTTCATTGTGACATTTTGAAGGTACTAAATGGTAATGACACATTGCTCCAGTAATTTTTGTACAATGTCTCTATGAGCTCTCCCCATCTGTCATGACAGCATTAGTCTTGGCATCTCTGATGAAAGAATCAAAATTAAAAGGGAGAACAAAAAGTCGATTTCTAATGGGTTCCAAATACCCATATCTTACAAGCGTGAATTAAATATTGCTCTCATCTTGCAGCCTTTCAGCCATATTACATGGATAAAAACCTCAAAACTATTTAAAATTGAAAATCCTGTTAAAAGATGAAATATATATCAAGTAAAATAGTATTCAGCTGTTTAACCTGTTGATAGGCTGTCAGCTGTCATTTCATTTGCACCTCATTTGAATTAATAAAGAGTAAACCATAAACATCATGATTTACAGTAATATAAAAGCTATTACAAAGGACCTTCATCATAAGCTTCTTTGTCATAAAGCTATTGTATCTTAGTTTCAATCACTAAACACTGTTAAAAACATTTCCTAATACAACACTACCTGATGCAATATACAAATTCCTTTGCTTCAAGGACTACCTATAGAGATATGACTTAGAATCGTAGAATCATAGAATGGGTGGATCTGGAAAGGACCTTAAGGTCATCCAGTTCCAACCCCCTGCCATGGGCAGGGACGCCTTGCACTAGACCAGGTTGCCCAAGGCTCCATCCAACCTGGCCTTGAACAGTGCCAGGGATGGGGCAGCCACAGCTTCTCTGGGCACCCTGTGCCAGCGCCTCAGCACCCTCACAGGGAAGAGCTTCTGCCTTAGATCTAACCTGAACTTGCCCTGTTTCAGTTTGAACCCATCACCCCTTGTCCTATCGCTGCAGTCCCTGATGAAGAGTCCCTCTCCAGCATCCTTGTAGCCCCCTTCAGACACTGGAAGCTGCTCTGAGGTCTCCACACAGCTTCTCTTCTCCAGGCTGAACAGCCCCAATGTTCTCAGCCTATCTTCACACGGGAGGTGCTGCAGCCCCTGAGCATCCTTGTGGCCTCATCTGGACTTGCTCCACCAGCTCCATGTCCTTCTTAGGTTGAGGACAGAACTGCACACAGTGCTGCAAGTCAGGTCAAAGACTTGGAGCCTTTAGAGATTAATTGGAAGTTTCTTCTTACATAAATATTGTAAAAAACAAAAAGCATTTTCATGCTGGTATTCTTGGTCTTTTCTTGAGGCTGCCCCCCTTTTCCCCCAGCTCAGGTTTGCCCAAAGCCATTAAAGTACCTTTATGTCTCCTCCTTTATTTTGAGTAACCCTTGGACAAACAACAGCTAGTTACTCAAACACACCAGTTTGTTTGCTTCTTTCAGAAGTGTCACGGACTTCATGTATGTCATGGATATACGTATATGATGGCAGCTTCATATCTCCTCTTAAAGATTGTTTCCCCTTTTCCTGGATGTGCTGTTCTTTGCAGTTAATAATGGGACCGCTTTTCCCCTCATGTTATTTTAAGAACTAGGGTGATGTACACTTGTAACTAAAAGAGATGGTCCAGAACCTGGAAAAGAGGCTAAGAAAATTGCTACCCCTCACTTTTGTTCACTGTATTTCTACAGACGTTCCTCCAAGGATGCTCTTTGCTTTTTGGGTGTCTTCAAGACCAGGGTACGACCTGGCCTGTGTCCTTTGGTTTTAATCTATGGGTTTTCTATGTCATGGCTTAGAAAGGATCTTTAGGTGTCTTTAAGTTAAATGGACTCAGCTTGACTTCAGACAGCAATGGGAAAGAGGGAAAGTCTCCTCAGCACTCTAACAAAGCTGTGCTCAGTATCTGTTGGTCTTGGGAAGGTTTGTCCCACGTACAAATTAATTCTCTTGCTTTTTACCTCCCAATGGGGCAAGTAATGCTTGGTGAGCTCAATGCCATTGGTTATGCCTGGAACACAGGAGAAAGTTCTACATTTGAGAACAGTTGTGAGCAAGAGGTTTGGACTAGATGTCCTCCCAACTTGAATCATCCTAAGATCCTGTGATCCTATCTGTGTTCGATGATACCATGGATAAACACAAGTTTGATACAAGCAAACTGAAGAAAACTGTCCAAATCCTTTGGGATGCGTTTTTGGTTCCCTGGCAATGAAAGTGCAGCTGCTCCAGGGCTAGCACAATAACCTGCTTCAGGGTCATGTGGTCTTTTGCTTTCCCAAATTAGCAGTGATTAGCTGATCATTCACAGCTGGAGGGCAATGGGATTTCTCTGGGAGGAACTCCTGTGCCCACAGCCACTGAGACAATAAAAGGCCTAGTTTGGGCATTTAGTAGTGTAGTTGTGGGTTTAGTGCATCGATTTTCTGTGTCATGGTATGCTTCAGAATTGGTCTGGCAAAATTAAGTGGACTTGTGGAGTGACTGTACCTAATAATACACCGTCAGGCTGACACTGAGGAGCACCTCGCTGCCTTGCTTGTGAACTGGTAAGTTTGCTTCTCCTCGGGTTGGTTCTCCTTAAAGCCTCTTGCTGCCTTCCTTGCCTGCTCTCCCAAGTCAGTGTGTCACGTCGCTGAGCCGATACAGCTGGGTATGCTGCTGCAGGGTTTCAGCAGATCCTGTGTTTGGAGTAGTTTGAGAAGTGTCTAGTGGCTTCATCACGGGATTTCTCTGTAGTGTGAGACCAGCCGGCAAAAAGCCGTGAGCTCACATGTTTAGGTGGCTTAGTTTGTGCACACAGATAACGTGAGTATCTGCTTGGCAGGGTTTTACAGCAACTGAGCATTCCTGACGCTGCTGCCTCTTTTCATCCTTCTGCTCCCCCTTCCTTAACAGCAGAATCAGCAGCTGTAACAACACATGGAGGACACTTGGCAGCTGCAAGACACAGATGCTGGGCTCTGTAATAAACTTCTCCTGTAGAAGAATCTGAGTGCTTTTGCTGGCTGCTTAAAGGTCCTTATTGCTGTCTGACTCACTTGCTCAACAAGCAGTTACAGTGTGCTGATGGTTGTTGGTAATCACTTGGGGTTATAAGGACCAATCTAATTGACCTGCTCAGTCCTTCAGGGTGCTGCCATAGCCTAGCTTTAATAATTTGTAAGTGAATTGCATGCTTTTCTGGTAGATGTTTAAGAATAAGATATTGTGCAGTGTTTCAGGGGGCATTGTTTTTGTATCTAGAGATAGGTAATAGGCCTGGTTTTGATCACAAGTCACAATGTCCAAACCAGAAATAACTTCACTGTTGTTAAAGGGGTATAAGCTGTTGTAAAATAAGTGTGAGTTGGGTCAGAGGCAAAGGAGAGCTTTAAATGAAGTCTGCATAGCCTGGCAAAGAAATGGTATATCTTTAATATCAGTAACTGGTGTTTGTTGGA